ATTTTTTAGGCTGTTGACAGGGGAATTCACTGACCAAATAATGTTACTAAAAACAACTGAACTAGGCTAGGTCATGGAGTTCGACAAACTCAATGGTGTCTTTCATCAGAAAGCTTTTTGTGAACCTGTTGATTTTTCTATCTTCTAAAACATCTACGAACAAGTAACACAAACGGACAAGGCACAAATATAAAAGCAAGCTCATTTCTGTACCAACAGAGCAAAGACAAGAGGAATCAACTGTGCCAGAAACTCTACATATCTGATACACAGATTTATTAAGAACTCATGTCAGTGGGCAATCTAGTCCAATCCCGTTCTCAAAGCTGGACTAACTTCAGGGCCATGTCTGACCAAGTTTGTAAAAAATCTCAAAGGACAGAGATTCCACAGTGTCTTTGGACAACCTGTTTCAGAAGGCACCAGAGAGATTCCAGACTCAGATTAAACTTTTCATTTTCCAGTACCGTTGCCTATTCAAAGCAAAAAATCAGAAGAGTCTGTGCATCTTTTGATAACTTTAAGTATCATCCCAAAATCAAATGAGAAGTTCTGGAAGTGGAAAGCAAAACACTTTATCAGCACACTAGAGGTGAAGAAATGGAATCAATAAAAAAATAAGGTGACTATAAACATAGAAAACAATCAGTTTAATACCGTACAAATCAAACAAAACAAGTAGACTGGTGCAAACGTTGAATGTAACCAAAAATTAAGAGATTCAGAGTAAATGCAAATAGAGCAATATCATGTTTTTAACATGTATGAAAACAAGCTCTCTGAAGCATGCAGTCACCCAGCAAACAAACAGCATATACAGAGAACAGGCCATCAGAATATATCAGAAGACTTTAAAAACCCTCCTGTTTTGTTAAAGAGAAAGCTTCTGCCAGGAACAAACAACCAACAGCAACAAAAAACCCCACAAAAACACAAAACAGAAAAAAAAAAAACAAAAACAAGTTAAGCAAAGAGTACTAATTACTTCATTGTTTCTGGAGACAGAAAAGACATCATTATAAAGACTGGGATGTATTGATGGGTGGGCCAGTCCACCTGCAAACTGCACTAGGGAGCAAATGTGGATATCACTAATGTGTATTATTGTATTTGCAAAAGATGTGAGATAGTCTAGAAATACTTAATAGAACCAAGACAAGACCATAGTACACCACACAAACAAAAAGGTAACGCGCACCAGAAAACACCACTTAAATTGTGCACATGAACATTCTCATACCTAGCGAACCACCCTCAGACACACACAATTAGTTGCAAAAGACAAACAATTTGATAGAGATTTACCCAATAAAGTAATATGGTCACATGCAAAACTGGAAAAATGGCACATCCCCCCAAAAGATAAGAAGTTTAATATTTGAAGAATCTGACATTCACTCTTCAAAGAAAAATTACTACACCAGAAGCATATAAGTGCATTTGATTTCCTTTGTCACATTTACAGGACATTTCTAGCTCCCAACCTTTCCTGAAGTAACCAGTATTTGGCTGATAATGGGGATTAATTGCAATATAGTGTGACAATACTTACATCTCTCAGACTCCACTGTGTCCTTGTTAGCCCTATGAATCCCATCCTGAATTTCATCTAGCCAAAGTACAGCCGTTTCATCCTGTGTGTCCTGAAGAGTATATGATGAGAAAGAAAATATACACAGCATGAGGAGAAAAAATATCACTATTTTTGCAATGTAAAATAACCCGTACCCAACAATAGCCAATATAGTAGGTTTCTGTATCAGAGGGAATAAGCAGCATTTCAGTCTTTCTAATTGACTCCAACACAAGGACATCATGTGCATTTGTGACTAGCAGAGACTACTACCGTTACTACTGGACTCAATACTTCCTCCCCGTCAAAAACTCTTTTCAGGAAACAGAACGAAGAAGAAATTTTGTCAATGGGAATCACTCTGTTAAGCAAAGAGAACACAAGGCCAATGACTATGTACCGGTTAGTCCTAAGGCTGTACTTGCTAAGAAGAACACAAGTTAGTCCTTCAGCAGAACATGGCTAGAAAGAGTTCTTAGAACAAAAAACCTGCTGATGAACATCTGTGTGCAGGAGCTAAAAACTCTCGGGTAACTAATGCCACATCAGGCTGTTCTTGTTCCCGTCCACAGAAGTTCACAAGGCTGTACAAACTAGCAAACCAAAAAGCGTTGTACGTTATTTTGGCTGGGTGTACATGCACAACAGTCAAACCCACGTTTTAAGTCTTCATTTTAACAGACGGCTCGTCAAGGAGCAGTGATTAGCAACTATCCTGTATTTTGGCTGAAAATTGAAGAAATCCAATCAACTAATGTTCCGTGCAGAAATTGGAGAAGAGGAAAGAGACAGGTGTTTAGCAAGTCCTAAAATATACATAAAGAACAATGATCCAGCAGTTGCCAAGCATAGCTACTCCCCACCCACCGTTGCTTCCTGTAGGTAACTACATAAAGAAATGCTAAGGTGCAACTGCCACCCCTCTGACAACTCTTGTACAAACAGAACACAGGAAACATTGACTTCTGGTATGGAATAATAATTGCACTACACAGAAGAGCCACTATTTACAGTGTTCAAGAGCTTTAAGGCCAAACTAAAAATGAACATTTCGTACATGCCCTCCACATTTTTCCCCACTGTTCTGGCGGGTCTGAAACCGACATGCTTAATGATATTTCATTCGAGAGACTAACATGTCTTTCACGGGCAGACTTCACCTGAAAGTGCAGGCAGTCCCAAGAGAGTACCAACAACAGTGAAATTCCCGTCCAGGGAGTGAATGGGGGAGAATAGTCAAAGAAACAACTTCCTCTACTGGAATCTCTACCAGCAGAAGTCAACCCAAAGACTACCAAAACCACCCTGTGCTTTTCTACCAATTTACTGTTGCAGGTCTGCCGGAAGGTACACACAGTGTAACATACTACAGGGTCTGCTGTTTTTCCCTCTCTCCACTCATCACATGAAAAACATGCATCATACAGCGCTCCCCATTCACATAAGCAACTGAACAATGTTTTGTGGTTGAACGACAATCCCCCTCAGCCCAAGTACAGAAATCACTAGTTAATAAGAAACAGTTGACTTCAGATGGTGACTATTTTCCCCACGATGTTGCTTTACAACATGATCTTTCACCTATTGAAATTACTGCCACGCTGCTGGGAGAAGCCCTAAGCTGAACATATGCCTAAATAAGGTAATTTCACACCAACTGAGAAGTTACCAGCACAGTCTGGCACAAGCTTAAGTGCACACTAAAAAGAGTTCATTATTTCATTCTGACTCAGTGGGAGGAAATGCTTCAGCACAAAATGGGTTCCTGAAGAACATTAACCCTTTCACAGTCCTTGGGGAAGCTGCTTAATGATTTTCATCAGAAATGTGTACAGTTTTCAGCTTATTGCCATCACGCCGATTTACCTTCAGTTAAAAAAAAAAAAAAAAAAAAATCAGTGTTCAACACAATCTAGATCCTAGTCTCTAGGCAAAATTCTGCACTGGCATTAAGAGTAATGAGCTCCATAGCAGGGGAGGAAAAAAAAACCAAACAAAAACCACGCTCAAGCCACTGAAAGCAGAGATATCTGCTACTTCTTTGTAAATAGATGAGGAAAAAAAAAAATCGGCATCCCATTCACACTACTCAAAAATCAGTTGCATACACACTCGTGCACTCTCATCCTCTTTCCTAAACTTGTAAGATGAGATTTGCTCTTCCTCTCCCCATCTTCATCTTCACATTTAGTCAGTTAGCAAAAGCAGCAACTATGTATAAGTAGGTAGAAGTCCTTGGCTAATAAGACAGACAATTACTGCTCAAAAAATCATTAGCAATAAAAGTGCCACCAGACAAACAGCAGACATAAGTATACATTTTGCTAGTAGCATATATTTTGCTTCATTTCTTTTCTAACTTATCACTTGATAGACTTTTCCACTTTCAGAAACTTTCTTTTTGCCATATATAACTATGCCTATGACTACATTTAACAAAGAATACCAAAAAGAAATATTCAAGCTTGCAGGAAACTTGCATTCAGAAGCTCAGAACTCCTAGAATGAACATGGTCTCCTTGCAAAAACAGATGAGGCATATTATTTCTCAGCAAATAAGATACATATTTCATTCTGGACCCTGGACTCGCTGTAGCAAGCCGTCAGGTGCAGTTAATACCCTTATACCCATCTCTCTAGTTCACAAGGATTCATATGGTCCGGCTGCAAATCTCCTTCTCTAATATAGAAAGATCCAAACTGACTGGGTAAGATCAGTTGATGGTGTGCAGAATGCGCAGCTCTCCACCACTTCCAGTTTTGATTCCTGGCTTTTAGGACCAGTAATAAGCCCATTACACAGATGTAAAGTTTGTTTGAGAGGTGCATTTAATTGCACTCACCTGTGCTTTTTCTCTCTTGGCTCGAAGTAGTGTATCCTGGTAATGCTGTGCCACCTTTGGGGCTACACCCTCCAATTTTGCTGCAGGAATCTGTAAGGCTTGAATAGTCTTTTTGGTGTCCCCTTCATCCAGAGCTTCATTGATAAGACCAATTGCCAAAATCCCTAGGGAGGAAGGCATAGGTGGAAAAATACATAATTCCATTTTAGGTCAACAATAAATCATAAGCATTGTTTCAGAAGAAAAGTGCAGTTAGTCCTTCCTAAACCAGGTATCAGCTGAGAACTGCAACATTTTTAACGGAAATCATTATTTACTAGTAAAGAAAGCAAGACTATTTCTCACCCTTAAAGTAGTCATAATGCCTGGGCACTGCAATTTAAAAAAAAACTGGTCATCTCAGGGAGACCACATGCAGGGACAGAATTGAGTCCTCAGGCATCTAGCTCAGAGCCACTTAGAAGAGAATTATCAAACCCCAGATGGCCAGAGTTCATAGGCTGCAGTTTTCCAAGGTTCTGGCTAGTCTAGAAAGAAATCTTCACATGAAGCTACAGATTCGCATGGAATACCATTTAAAAATACAGTAACTTCATGTTTTAGAAAACTCATATTAAACATATGTAGTATTACCAGAGATGTGGATGCTATTCAAGTACACTAAATTTACCATTCACCTAAAAAAACCCAAACAAAAATAAATATAATAGAATCATAGAATAGTTTGGGTTGGAAGGGACCTTTAAAACTCAACCTGCAATGAGCAAGGACATCTTCACCTAGATCAGGTTGCTCAGAGCCCCGTCCAATCTGACCTTGAATGTTTCCAGGGATGGGGCATCTACCACCTCTCTGGGCAACACCTGTGCCAGTGATTCACCATCCTCATTGTGAAAAATGTCTCCCTCATATCTAGTCTAAATCTACCCTCTGTCAAACTCAGGCAAATCTGAGAGGAGAGGTTTTTTAAAATAACCTAGTTCCTACAAGTTCTGTGGAAACAGGCAACTCAGGAGAAGACAAAGATCCGATTCCTGCCTGCTCTCTGAGTCTTACAGTTAGCTAAACACAAACAGAGTCTACATTACACATGCCTCACCTACGGCAACCATCTCCCGCGAATCACAAAATAACTTAGGTTGAGGTGGACCCTAGAGGTTATCTGATTCAATTCCCTGCTTAAAGAAGGATCAGTTCAAATCATGGTTTGATCAGTGCAGAACAAAGAGATCTTTTAGACAAAAGAAATTAAGGAGCTCAGTGTGGGGATTTCCAAGTTTGGTTAATGTATCCGAAGTTTGCGACTTTCTCTTCTATGCAGGAAAGAGAATCGCAAAACAAAAGTTTATGTGAAAAACTGAACATCTTAGGGAAGAGGTGGTATTTGGATGGAGTAGAGACTAGAGAAAAATATATGTTGAGGACACTGCAAGAACCAGGATCACTAACACGGTGGCATGGTTTCTGTCAAAAAGCAGATATGAGAACTGCTTGACTCAGGAAAGAGCACAAAACGTTAAGTAGCAATTCTCTCTGATTAGTTTGCTAATATGGGCATGACGACTACTCCATTGAATAGCAATATGTTACAGCGCCTCACAAGAGAGCATTTTTTAATTTGAAACTATTTACAGGAGCAGTGGGAATAAAAAAAAAAAGCGCTCATATGCCTGGAGGACCTTTCAGACTAATTGAACTTACTGATAGACAGGACATAAAAAGTATCCTTGCATAAGGGCACATATGAAGCAGACCAAAGAATTAAGAAATTCCGCATTAGAACATCATTACAGGATTTTCTGCACTTTTTTTTTACAGGATAAGGATTGTTGTGAGAAACAGGATGTTGGGACTACGTGAACTTCTAGACTTCTGTTATGACCTCTTACATAGAAAAGGTACTATGAAACTAGCACCTTGGTGTGTGCACGCACTGGTGCAGGTCTGTGTTTGTGCGGTTTCAACAAATCTGCTCACATGACCCAAACAGGAAACTCCATGTCTATTTGTAGATCCAGGAAATAAGTTAATCAAGATAGCAGGCTTTTACAGTAAAATTTAACCCTCTCTAGAGTATAAAGTCTTTTCAAGGTGAAACACAACTCACCAACCATGCAACAAGAAGTAGCAGAAGATACCTGTTTGTCTCAAGTGTACGATATAAACTTTATCATCACCCCTACGTTTGTGACAAATCTCTCCGCTCTTACGATGCAAGGCTTTGAACTAAGTATTACAAAGATGGCCTGAAAGTAAATGTCATGCTACTTGCGTATGCAGGTTTTCGGTACTGGTCATAACCAAAAATTATGGTCCCTTAATGAAACTGAAAAAAATTAATAGAAAAATAAACCACCTGATACAGAACCTCACAAGGATCTACCTAAAGAACAAGTTTGCTTAATTGTGCTATTTTCAAGGACTCCTCTATCTCCACTCTGGATTTTAAGTCAACTAATACTGTCTTACAACTCCAATTTTCTGTTTTCCTTAAATTTTCATCATTATGCTCAATCCCAGTCTTTTATCGCTGCTAAAAGACACTTATTAACATAAACACTACTAAAAAATAGAAATGAAAAAAATGCAGAACTAGAAGTAGCATAGAAGTCAGGGCAAAATCCATTCACCTTTCTCATCTTGCATCGGGAATTTCTTCCTTCATAAGTATTTAAGTTTTGGTACTCGCACTTGCTGCATACACTCACAACGTCTATGTGTTTTTGCATATTTTCCAGTCGTGGATTTTTTTTTTTTTCCCCACTTTACCAATATTTCCTATTACAAGGCAACAGGTGTGCTGGCATATTCTTTTTCTACTGGTCAGACAGTCAGTTATCAGTCACTTCAGATTTTATAGATAACGGTTTTAACAACTAGTGATCATACAGTGTCAAAACAGAAAATAAAAGCTTCTAATTTCCTGACGGAATGAACTGTAAACAAAGCAATTAACATCTTAAAGATCAGCACTTTCCATTTCAACTCTAATTTGAGATTTGGGTCTCAGTATCTGGAACTTGGAATTTGAATGGCATCAAACTGATAATTAAACGTTCTTTGAAAAAAGGAAAAATCTGTATCAGATGTTTTAAACAAAAACATTTGAAACAGACAGCGTTTCAGAATAAACTTTTTGGGGCATCTCTGTTGATTTATCACTGAATCAAAGTAACCACAAAAGCCTACTTTGATGCAATATTTGCACTACTGATCTTCAAAGCACATGTAATTTGTAAGTAGTGCTAATATAGCCAGGAGTTAAAGGACTGAGAATAAGACCTGGAAATAAACTCATCTCTCTCTTGTTCATTCAAGCTCCTCATCCACTGCAGAAATGCATGTGACAGATCATTACATCTGAGAATCATCAACACAAAGAGAGCTAGCTTATCTTGCATTTGCAGGTGAGATTACCCACAGATAAAGTGTGGAGGGGAATCCTGGACTGAATCTGTGGAACTTCCAAAAAAAAACACTGGGAAAGTAAAAAGGCCAAAGCACATTCAAAAGAAGCACTAAAAGAGAGAAGAGGAAAACTTGAACAGGGGAGATTGCAGCCAGAGAACACAAAAAGAAGCTTCTACTTAATGCAGCAAATTAGGAAGGAGGATGGAGTATTCCGAGACTGGGCTACAATTAACTCCAAGATTTTGGCAACACTAGTTTTCATTAAATTTGAGGTATTGAAGCAAAATTAGGGAAGATTCTACAGTAATCCTCACAGCAGACAATGCATTTCATTAACCAAAAAGTGTTGAAATTTGCATTGGAAGTATTAATAAACTGTTTGGAGACACTGATTATAATACCACAAACACTCCCAACTGACTGATCTCTTCATCAACAGTCCTGCTATCAAGCCTTTTATATTACAGACCGCCAAGTCTTGCTCACAACTAAGATCTTCCTAGATATCTAATGTATGACACAACTACAAGTCAATCAATAACTTTTGTGTATTGACATGCACCTAATTTTAGCACTCCTTATGAGCTAGGATCAGTCTAGCATGAGTCCAGCAGAAAAACTTACTTTCATGTTCTTCATGCACAACTATGTTTACACGATCAACACATGACTGGATATCATTCCATGTGATAAATTCAGTTCCTTCTGCACGTGTTTGAGCTTTCAGCTTCATCAAATCATCGATATATCTGTCAAAGAACAAACACCAAAACCAACAAACATCACATCGCAACAAGCTGGCCAGGAAACACACAACACAGCACAAGAATTGTACATGAAGTGGAAGAGGTAACATGAGGGTTGAAACGAGAACAAATATGAAAAGGGGGAAGAAAAGAAAGAGGAAAGGCTGTGTGCAGGATGGGCAGCCCAAGTGTGAAATAATCAAAAAAAAAACACTGAATGAAGGACCAGGGCAAAGAACACAGTGGGTGAGCTGGCACAGCATTAGTGACAACCTAATGGTACCGCAACATGGCTTTAACATGAAATCCATGAGAAAGCGTTGAGAGACAGCACAGAAATCAGACCACTAAGATTCAATCACAACAACAAGACTTAAGAGCCAACAGAGGTTAAATCAATACTGTAATAAATAATGCAGAAAGAATGTAAAGTGTAAGAAGTGAAAAAAATTTTCAGTCACAGCATATAAGCAACATCAAGGAGAGACATGATTCCTTGAAATATCCACCTCTGAGAGTTCTCATCCTCAATGTTTGTAAGCCCTGTGACAGGACTGCTCAGTTGCTTCCACACTGTATTCACATCCCCTGAATCCAACGCCCTATTAATCAGGGCCACAGAAGAGAGCATCTCTACAGCAACAGATAATTCTGGATGGGTGAGGTTACCCTGCATACAAAGAGGACAACAAATTAATTCCACTCGCTCTTTACAAACGCTTGGTGCACATAGAAAACAGAATAGAGTAGTTGGCAGAATAGACAAAATATAACACAGCAAAGGGACAATCTTTATGACAAAGAAGTAGAAAGATTAGTATCATAAAGCTAGAACTCCGAGTAAGATATTAAAGTAGAATCTTACAGGGCCAATTAGTTCAAGATTTAGTGATTAAATTTCACATCAGAACAGACTGAACACCAAAGCACTTCCATGAAGACTCAAGATAGGTTTCTTCCAGAGAATACATTTAACAAAACAGACAAGGTAGACCCCGTGATCCACACAGACTTCCAGAAATAAGAGAGAACTTACTTCAGGGCTCTGTTGCTGCAAGGTGGCCAGCTCCCTTTGGTAAAGATCTGCAGCAAATACATAAACCTCTGGTAACTGGGCCTCCGGATTCATCATTTCTGCTACAGTCTTCTCAGCATCACCCATTCGAATTGCAGAATTAATTTTGGCTACTGCTGCCAGCCCTAGAAGTTCAAAGAGGCAGCATAAAGAATGACGAAGTTGAGTCCCCGGTAATAAGGGCACTTTTATTCTACTCAATAGTCAGATACCTAACAAGAAAAAGAATAGTTCCCTTAGCTGTGGGAAATGAGCAAAGCTTTCTGATTCATACTTCCCCAGTTAGTCTTCCATTACTGCAGACAACTAAAATATGCAATTCTTTAAAATAAAGCTCATGTTTAAAAACAGTTCACCTTTTTGCCTGGTTATCAAATGATTGTTTCACTATTTCAGCCTTCTGATAGCAAGAAACCTCATAATTGCAAATTTTTGGATAGATGAGTAGCGACAACTTTTTCTTCCTGTCCATGTCTATCCTGCGTCTATCCTGCTCAAGGCAGTAACAAGCACTCTATAGTGGGTACACGTTGGCCAACTTTAAAATAGTGCAAGTAGGTAAACAAGTGACCAGCCCCATGCCAAAGGTAGCTTCCTGGTTATTAAGCATTCACTATTCTCTTCTTCTATTCTAAACCCTCTCTCTCCAGATCTCTAGTAGTCTCCTTTCTACCTATTACAAATTGAACTAATTTCCTGCACAGCCAGAACTGAACCTTCTTCTCCAGAAAAAGAGCTCTGCATGGTGTCAGAAGCATCAATCAAAAAGAAAAAAAAAAAAAAATCAGCCATCGTGATCTGCATTTTATTTGCTACCTGATATTTAGAAACAGTACAGTTAAAAGTTCTGTAACTCAAACCAAGGAAGATTTATGTCAATGGTCAGCAGCTTTCACACCTCATTGAGCAATTCAGATTTCCTTCACAGATCCATAGCACAAAAACCTCATATAAGCACTCTAGAAAGAGAGGTTATTTAAGGTGGGTGCAAAAGTTCCCTGCTTCTTAATATTTCAAATTATATGCGGTTCTCTCCAGCAGTATTGTAAGAGCTAGATAAAAGACACTACAAATAATCAGGGAAACTGTCTCTTTAGTGTTCTTCACAGCCATGAAGCACTTAAAGGAACATTCATAACCGTCTGAGAGACCTTACATATCCCCGCATAGAACCAAATACCGTGCTGTCTCATCCTTTTGATCACATCTACAGTTGCCTTGCTGCAATAATTTCTGCTGATCCTTACTTTGCTGATACTGTTGTGCTGCCCTGTTAGCAGCATCCACTCCCAGCTGCAACTCTTCCTTCTGCAGAGGACCTGTAAGGCCAGCCTGAGAAGAAAAAGAAACCAGGAGGGTGAAATGATATCAACTTATTCACTTCAAATAGTTCAATTAAAAAAAAAAACCCACAGTTTTTCCTTAAAACACTCTGCAGAAGCTATGTAGCATTAAAGAATGCCACATACACGAGGAAGACAGAAATTACTCACCAGATTCTCAGTTCACATGCTGAAAGACCACGTGTACAACCTGATCCCTCTTACAGTATTAGAAGTGCAGTTCCATGAACACAGCAATTAAAGGCAAGACACAGCTTCCAAAATTATAAAACATTTAAGACAAAGGGGACAATTTTGTGGGAAAAGACTCCCTGCACGAGCTGCATGCTGGAGTGAAATTAGTACTTGTGTAGTTTGCCATGAAGCAACACGTTAATTAATGTTCCATTTTACCTCTGAGCAATGAAAGAGCAGACCATCCAAGCTGGGCAACGTGCAGTCTTGACTTATATATACATGTTTCTTGGATTATATGGTACCACTTGAATACCAACAGAAAATGAGACTGAGTGACTGGGGAGCAGGAGGGCTTGAATAACTTGGGTAGTAGCCATACAGGTCACGGCCCTTCATACAGTTCACACAGTAAAGACGATAATTCTCCAAAAGCACCAACAGACCACATTTATGTAACAAGACCTTTCAATTACATTCTGGAAGAACATGCGATCTGACTTTGCAGTTTAGAAAACAGCTGACCTTGGCTTTTGTGGCTACTAAAAAACTTGGTAAAAATCTTCCCATTCCTGTTTCATCCCTTAGGACATCTTTGGGCAACTATGGAGAGTTTCTACCACACCAAAGCTTCATAAGACTTTTTTAAAAGCCCCCCTTTTCCAATTTTATCTTAATTGTAGGTACCAAGAAACATAGCTTGTGAAGATCTTTCTTCAGAGGTAAGTGACAAATCTTCAAATAGCAACAGCTGCAGGGCTAACTCTGTGCTATAGAAGTCCTCATGCCCCCACAGAAAGGTATAACAGCAATACACACACCCTTCAGCTCCATCATTCATGCAGAATCCCAGGTAAGGAACACTCATAAAGTATAGCAGTATACTGACTGGTAGAAAGAGTATCCCAAAACAGCACATTCACCGTAAAGAATTATTCTCTAAGGAACATCATTTAGCTATTGACCAAACAACTCCTGCATCACACAGAAAAAAACAAACCACAAAATAAAACTGTAAAAGTAAACAATCAAGAGTGGCTCTGAATTATTGCGGCATGCCTTTCAGATTGAGGGATCCTTCTGAAGACAAAAAAGGGGCACTGCACCAGAAAAAGCTGTAACAGTCTACAAAAGAAAGGTATTATAAACTTATATATATACACACACACATATATATATCTCAACATATATTGATGCAGATAGATTTATAAAATCACAGAATCATTAAGGTTGGAAAA